GTGTCCACTGAAGCTCTGAGATGTGGGGAGGAGCGCGGAAGCTGGGCGAGGGGAGGGGAGCTGCAGCGCGCGCCCAGAGATCCGCACGCTCCGCCTCCCAGCCCGCAAGATGGCGGCCGCCGAGCCACCCACTTCCCTCCCCCACCCCCGGGGTCACGTGACGCCGAGGGCCAAGGCGCACGAGGGGCGGGGCGAAAGAGTGGGATTAGCGGGAGCTGGACTAGATCTCCCGAGGATCCCCGATGCGTCAGGACTCCTAGGTGCTATCCTTTGGGAGTTTATTCGTGCTTTCCCTGCTCCCCAACCCTGTTAATGTATCTGGAGACAATAAGTTACTATAAATGGTGAGAATATAAACACCCCCGAAACTTTAATTCTGTCGGAGGTTACGCGCCTCAACAAGAGCACCCACCAGAGCCCGCGCCCCTACAGAGGCAGCGTCCCTACCATCAGTTTACTTTCCTGTCTGCCCAACTTCTAGAGGTTTGAATTGAGGAAAGAGTGGAGTGGGTGGCAGAGAATCAAACACAAAACAGACATCAGAGTGTATTTTCTTTTTCTCTTAAGAGAGGAAATTGTTTTATTTTATTTTTTCAGTTTTCGGTGGACACAACATCTTTATTTTATTTTTAGGTGGTGCTGAGGATCGAAACTAGTGCCCCGCGCATGCCATGCGAGCGCGTTACCGCTTGAGCCACATCCACAACCCAGAGTGTATTTTCGAGAAGTACTGACCACACAGGGTGGTCTGGCAGAGGTCACTTACCACCGGCAGTCCATGTCATGACTGACAGGAGGAAGGCTGGCGAGTTTCTGTGAGGTTCAGACCACACCTGCTCACACCACTCTCAGTCTTAACCAGAATTTTTCTAGATGCCAGTTCCAGGACTCTGTATCCCAAATACAAAAGTCGAAAAAAATAAACCAGCAGTACAATGATCAAAATGTTTGATGAGTTCTTTCCCATCAAATACAAATGGCTTAGTATTTTTAATATTTTAATGCTTCTTATCTATCAATTGGACATACAAACCCTGAAACTGATATAAAAATCAAGTTTCTGATTACGAAGAAAAGTTTAGTCAAACTTAAGATTTGCTAGGTATTTTTTTTTTTGTTTTTTTGCAGCACTGGAGATCAAACTCAGGGCCTTGCTCGTGCTAGGCGAACTCTTAGTTACTACTGAGCTGCATCCCCGGCCCCTGCTAGTTTGTTTTTATATTAAATTTAAAATACATCCAATTCCACGTGTTTGTATAATGGCATATGCTTACATTCATAGCTAAGCAAAAATGAAGTAAAATATATAATATTATAGAAATATAAAATATATATAATGTATGTATTTTTTGGTATTGGAGATCAAACTGAGTAGCACTCAACCACTGAACCACATCCCCATCCCTATTTTGTATTGTATTTAGAGACAGGGTCTCACTGAGTTACTTAGTGCCTCCACGTTGCTGAGGCTGACTTTGAACTTGCTATCCTGCCTCAGCCTCCCAAGCTACTGGGATTACAAGACTGTGTTACTGCGCCCAGCAAAGTAAAAACTTTTTACTGGTTGGTTTTTCTTATCCTCAGCTCTTCACTCTATATAAATTTATATAAAGTAAAATAATTTATTTTACTGAAAAAAAAAATAAAAAGACTGCTGGAGTATATGCCCTGTCTTTATTAGCCTTTCTGTGGATTTTTGTAACCTACTTTTTTTTTTGTTACCTACGTTTTGATGTGATATGAGTAATATGAAGAAAATATGAATTTCTGTGTATAGATACTTGGAGTTGATACTAGATCAGGATTTGTTATACTCATCACTTTTCTTGCTCAATCAGAGAAGCTGACCTCTATGGAACATAATCAGAAAACTCTCCTGCTATCCTGTCATACCTGTCTAATGCATCATTCTTTGTATCCTACATGAAATTTCTTGTAGGTCTCCTTATTTGTCAGATATTTTTCAGTGACAGTGGTAGTCTTATTGCAATATTGAAAATGTTTACCCCAGGGTAACAATTAAAACTTTAATAGCAACTTGGGAGGCTGAGGCAGGAAGTCAGCAAGTTCAAGGCCAGTCTGGGCAATTTAGCAAGACCCTGTCCCAAAATTTTAAAAATAAAAATAAAGGGCTGGGGGTGTGGCTCAGTGGTAGAGTGCTTGCCTAGAATGTGTGAGGCACTGGATTTGATCCTCAGCACCACATAAAAATAAATGAATAAAATAAATGTCTATCAACCAAAAAAAAAATTTTATAAATAAAAAGGGTTAGGGTTGTACCTCAGTGGTACAGCACTCCTGGGTTCACTCTCTAGGAGTGCAGTTGGCTTCCATACTGTCCCCCTTACTTGCCATCTCAATACAGCTAAGAAGCCAGCATCTTGCTTTTGGACTTTTCCCAGGTGGGAGTTAAGACAAACACTAGGAGACATGAGCCAAATGTCTTGAAAATTTCCAGTAAAGACCTCTCCTCACTTGACTTTAAGCAAAGAGGAAATATCCCTGCCCAATATGATGGGAGAGGAAATATATCTCTGCCCTATATGATGGGAGAGAACTCACAGGTAATTCTCCAACACAATTCCCATTTTCTTTATATAGATTTAATGATGAAACAAATTAAGGCGCTCTCATGCTTACTGGTTCTCTCTCTCTCTCTCTCTCTCTCTCTCTCTCTCACACACACACACACACACACACACACCATAGTAGCCATATAACAATGACAGATAAGATCTGAAAATAGAAACCTATGCTCTATGCTAAGGACTGAGTTGTGTGCCCCGCTTCCAAGTTCATATGTTAAAACCCTAATTCTCTTATTTTTTTATCTTTTATTATTTTGTTATTAGTTGTTCAAAATATTACAAAGTTCTTGACATATCATATTTCATACATTTGATTCAAGCGGATTATGAACTCCCATTTTTACCCTATATACATAATGCAGGTTCACATTGGTTACACATCCACTTTTTTACCTCTGCCAAACTAGTGTATGTTGTATTAAAAAACCCTAATTCTCAATGTGATAGTTGGAGATGGGACCTTTGGGAAGTGATTAGAGTTAGATAAGATCACAAAGTGGGGTCCTAATAATGGGATTCACTCCAAAACAAAATGGGGTCCTAATAATGGGATTATTCTCTCCAAGAATATGCCAAAGTGACAGGCCTCCTGGGCTTTGAAATGAGTTCAGAAGCAAGAGAAGGAAATTTAGCTCCTGTGAGGTAATAAAGATGCTAGTGTCTTCCAGGAGGAGGAGGACTTCGGCCAGGTTTTCAACTTGCAGCTAATGGCACCTCTGCCCCCACATGCAAGCTGAGCAAAACTGTTGCGAATCTTCTGCTTGGGGCCATAAGCTTTATGGGGAAGCCATGTGCCAAGTGAGTAGGAGGATAGAAATGTTGACAGTCTTTAGATGAGAACTGAGCCTAGGCACTCCCTGCTCAGTGACTGGAATGCCAACACCCTGATATTACCAGTGTTCCTATGTACCAGTAATAACAGATTAAAGATATAATCTTCTGTTAAGCATAGTGGATTCAATCCATGCATTTATCACTATTGAGTACTAAACCCTACTTTTTTAAAAAAACTTTATTTGTTGAGAATAAAATCATGGCATTTGCAGGTAAATGGATGGAGTGGAGAATATAATGCTAAATGAAATAAGCCAATCCCACAAAAAGCCAAATGCTGAATGTTTTCTCTGATATAAGGATGCTGGTTCATGATGGGGATGGGGAGGAATAGATGAACTCTAGGTAGGGCAGAGGGGAGGGAGGGGAAGGGAGGGGACATAGGGATAGGAAAAGCAGTGGAATGAAATGGACATCATTACTCTAAGTACATGTATGAAGACACGAATGGTGTAACTCTATGTTGTGGACAACGAGAGATATGAAAAATTGTGTTTTATATGTGTAATATGAATTGAAATGCATTCTGATGTCATATGTAGCAAATTAGAATAAGTTATTTTTTAAAAAAAGAGCTTTGTCTATTTTTCAATACATAAGCTCAAATGGGTGTGGTGGTACACTCCTGTAATCCTAGCTACACTGGATCCCCCAAGTTGAAGCCAGGGCAATTTGAAAGATATGCTCTTAAAAAAAAAAAAAGTTGAGAGTATAGCTCAGTACCTTACGTAGCATACGTGAAGTCCTGGGTTCAATCCCCAGTACCAAGAAAAAAGAATATATATATATGTATATTATGTACATATATATATTCATATGTATTTTATGTACATATATATGTATTCATATGTACATAAAATAAATAAATAAAAATGGAAATGTGAGGGATGTAATTCCGCACAGGATGGAATTTTGATCAATAAGAGACAGGAGCCAATGAGTAATTTCCTCCCATTTCTTCTCCTGTCTCACTTTTCCCAGGTTGCTCTTGAGATGAAGTTTGTTTATTGAGGACCCAATCATTAAATTCAGTAATTGAGTAGTGGCCAGGTCAATGAAACTTCTCATACTGGTTCTTTCTTTCCCTGTTTCACTCTCCTTGTCTCTCATATCTGCTCCTTAGACTCCCTAATAATAAAGACAGATTATGGTTTCTAGGGACCAGAATAACACATTAACAAGAAAAGACTGATATACTTGATTGTATTAAAGTCAACAACTTCTGTTTATCAAAAGTTGCTGTTAAGAGAATGAGGTGGAGTGATGGGAGGGGAAGGGAGGGGAAGGGGGGAAGGGAAGGACAGCAGAATAAAATAGACATTATTATTGCTGTGGGTATATTCGTGACTGCATGACCAATGTAATTCTGCAACCTGTACACTCAGAAAAATGAGAAATATATCCCATCTGATTCAAATGTATGATATGTCAAGATCAATGTACTGTTATGTGTAACTAATTAAAACAAATTGAAAATTTTTCATATTGAATAGAAAAACCTCTGAATGGATAAAGATACCCAGGGTATTCAATTAACTGTTCATGCCAAAATGTCTCTCCAATAATTAATTCATGTCCCAAATGAAATATGAATGAAAACATTTATAAACAATATTATATGAGATCAGCTGCTAAATTGCCTATAGATTAGTTTATATTTAAAATATTTTCTAGAATTAAAAATTTATTGAGGTACTTAGAAAAAAAAAGAGAATGGGGTAGGAAAAGATATATGCTAGCCCTAAAAAAAGTACTATATTACACTATATAAACAGCAGCTATAGAACAATATGAAAGACAAATACTCCAGTAAAAATATGGATAAAATATTTAAGTGTTTAAAAGAAATTCCAGCCAGGTAAAGTGGTGCATACCTATCATCCCAGCAGCTCTGAGACAGCTCTGAGACAGGATAATTGAGAATTCAAAGCTAGCTAAGCAACTCAGTGAGACCCTGTCTCTAAATAAAATATAAAATAGGGCTGGGAATGTGGCTCAGTGGTCGAGTGCCCTTGAGTTCAATCACAGGTACCCCCCCTCCAAAAAAAGAAATTCCAGTAACTAGTGAAAATACATAACTTCATAGGTAATTGTGAAAATGCAAATTAAAACCATAATGAAGTAACACTTTACACTCACTAACCTGGCTAAAATTCCAGACATTGGAAGTTTGTAGAACAAGGGACATTCTTTTTTTTAACATAATTTTTTAGTTATAGGTGGGCACAGTATCTTTATTTTATTTTTATGTGGTGTTGAGGATCGAACCCAGTGCCTCACACATGCTAGGTGAGCATTCTATCTCTGAGCCACAACCCAGAACCAAGGGAAATTCTTATTCATTGCATATAGGAATATAAATTAGTACAACCTCTTTAGACAACAGTTTGGGGGCTGGGGATGTGGCTCAAGCAGTAGTGCACTCGCCTGGCATGCATGCAGCCCAGGTTCGGTCCTCAGCACCACATACAAACAAAGATGTTGTGTCCGCAGAAAAACTAAAAAAAAAAAAAAAAAAGAACA